AAGGATACAATCAAACCCAAATTCAAGCGCTGGTACATAGCAGGCTAACGAAAGGTGCTAATAAAACCAATTTTTCAGTTTCATGTGACGTCTCATTCCAAGGAAAACGCTCCCTTGGAGGGCAAAAAGACGTTATTTTCCGCTGCCTGCCAGCCAATAAGCAAGCGAAACACTGTTACTTGGAGTTTGTTATTTTTTGCGTTGCCATAATGCTGTATGGTAGTTGTGCTTTCGGATTTACTAATCGAAGTAGGAGACAAGCCTGGGCTGTGTTAAGTGAGGGATTCCCCAGAAGGTAAAAGTAAATATTACCGCAGTCGAGCGGCGGTTTTTAACAGTAGAAATGCGGCAGCGGATGCTGTAATGTTACACGGATCGGTTATGCCCAACACTTGCAGTTTGTGTTCATATCTTTCTTACGGTGAAAGGTGATACAAATAAAATTTGACTGCTTTTGCAGCGTCTCTACGGGGAAGTCGCGGTGTTGGTCTGTTGTTTTGCCCTCCAGGTCATGTGACTGAAAACTATGAATAGAGCAAAACACCGGCTGGGCCGACACTGACCACTATAAAGAACCTCGAGATGCTGGAGACGCCTTCCCTGAACTATTAAACAAAATGCCATAAGATAGCTGTCGTGTTGTTTGCCCAACAGACATTTATAATTCTCAAAACTAAGCTAATCCCTTCAGAGCTATCAGACCTCAGGAATCTTAGACAGCAGAGTTTCAGTTGATAGGAAATGCGGGTAAAGCGTGAGGATGTAGCCTAAGCGTGGGCGCCTAACTTGTACGCCCATGTTCCACATTCTTTTCAAGTGGCGAATCACTGTATCGCCGCAAACAGACGTTTAAATCGCTGCCGTGCACCTGTGTCTAGACCGCAAGCGTTGATTTAGCTCTCATTTTTAATCTTTGGGCCCGGAGTCTCTGTGCACAACCGGGTCACGTCCGTTTTGTCTGTGCTTGGCGAATGCATCTGACAAGAAAACACACTGATAATATTGTCAAACTTTGTCAAGGAGAAGTTCAATTCACAAACATTTTAAACACAAACTCCTCTAGAGCTTTATGTATTCCTTTTTCTTTTTGTATCGTCACCAACTAGATTACCAAAGCAGCCGGTCCCATCAGGCTTGTTTATGAAAAGGCCAAAGAGGTCAAAGTGGAGCGAAGGCAGGCCTCATCAATCTACAGCCTGAGAAAATCTAGTTAGGGAAACTGAAAAACAATCTCCTCCCTTCAATCATTTCACATTATGAATTAATCTCTTGATGGGATAATCATGCAGACAATTTCACACGATGTCCTCGAAACACTCTGAGGTAATCAGCAGCAGAGGCAATGCAAAGATGATTCAATTTCAGGTCCTTTTTGTCTTTTCGTTCCTCTTTCAGTTGCTATCTGATCAGCTTTAAGCGTCTAACTGTTCTCACCCAGGTTGAATTCCCCAGACCCAACTGAAAAGCAACAATGGTCATGATGCCCTTGAGCCAAACATTTAATTTTTAAGATTTAATTAAAAGCTGCAGCAGCAGATAACTGTGTGCGTTGGGCACCAGGATGAAACAACCAAAAGGTAAAAGTCGGACGGTGTTAAGTCATTTTCTTCTTGTTAACTAATCCAATGTGCAGAACCAAACCTGTTAATGTATCTACTGACAAGTCCTGTGTATCACATCTGCTCTTCCTCATGCCACGACATCTCACGATATTAAAACGTGAAAAGCTGTCTCATCTCATGAGTAGGATGGAGTGTGAGAGTAAAGTTAGCATAGAAGATGCCCTTGCCATTTTTAAATTGTTTGTTCAGCAGCATTTTGGGATCCTGGTGGAAACCATAAACAGCGACAGAGTGACAGACAAGACACGAACAATATATACAAGCTAGGGCTGAAACGATTTATCGATAAATCCGATTACTAAAAAGCATCAACACAAATTCTTTGCACCAACTCTGGAATTGTACGGTCTGCACTACTACTACTACTACAGCCTACTGCAACAGCTCGACGCCAATGCTTCAGCATTTGATCAGAAAGCACCCGGTCTATCATCAGTCCACGGAGCGGACCACAGACAAGGTACAAGTAACGGCAACTTTAGCAATGAACTGAAATCAGGATTGATTGTTGAATTGAAGGCTGGCAAAAGTACGCCGCAGTTCTCAGCTGTAAATGTACACACGTAGGTTTGTTGTTGTTGTCCTCCGCCTGGTTTAAAATTATCTAGCTGCAGTACCGGAGTCTGCGGTCTCAGGACCCCTGCAATCCTGGGACCGAGAGTAACATAGCAGGCAGTATCAAAGTACTGCAGCTACGTACTACTCGCCTGGTTGGGCCGTGAGTTTGTGTTTTGTAACCCATCACATTCATGAGTTACACAGCTGATCCCTTTACGGGGGAGGGGTCACACCTGTATCATCACACCTCTAGTGAGCCACACTGTTGCACTGGGTGACAGCTTTTTCTGACAGGTAGTTAGAAAGTGTTGCGAGACGGACTAACGCATCGTTTTATTGGTTTTGGTCTTTTCATTGGATTTGGCGACAGTACAGAAAATACTGATTCACGCCTTATCCTTTTAAACAGGTTTGGATTTGCCCATTCTGACGTTATTGATCTAAAGTGTGTTAAATGGATTTTAGTGATGTCGTGGGAGTTCACCTTTCAGGTCGACTTGTGCTGTGCTTATGATTGTGTTCCTTGTGGTATCTTCTTGTAGCCTCATAATCAGACTGACTTATATTTTCTTTAACTTCATTCATCCAGTCTGACATTGTGTTCCTGTTCGGCCATATCTGTTTTGATTTGTTTTGCCTTAACCAATCAGTAGCAAGCGACGTATCTGTCCGTCCCATGGTAATTGTCTGTCGAAGGGGAAGAAATATGTTGTTGTTCTTCATAGATGTTGCTTGTTAGGTAGCAAAGCTATGAAGGGTTATGACATCCTTTTGTTATTCAGCCTAAAAATGTTCACTGCACCTGTTTGAACAACAAGTCAGTGAACATGAGGGCGGTGAGTTTTACAGGCCAGTCTTGCAGCTGTTCTTGTATAACGGAAGTGGAAGAACGTTAAGTGTGTCTTTAAATTGTGTTGGACTCTGCCAAGGCTGTCCCTTGTTGCCTGACTTTCATTTACAAAAGCTCTGTTGTACAAGGCGGCATTGTTTCACTGTTTTTATGTTGTTGTTTTTTTTTAGTTTGTAATCTGAAACAGTTTAAACTCCAAGGTACATTTTTTTTTAAATAAAATGTGTTGTGACAGTATTTTAACAATAGTCAGCAACAGGATTGTACATGTTGGAGGTTCTTAATAACGAGCGTCAGTTTCTTCTGAGTGTGAGGCCTCTGGAGGCTGCGTGTTTATGTGGAGGAGTTTCTTTGTGGGTGACCGTTAAAAATAGCAGCAGATATGGCAAAGTTTTGTAGGTGGGAATTCATGTCCTGTCTCACACGTTTCCACACATTTGACTGCAGCAACAAAACAATCAATTATCGTCAAGTTCAACTGCAGTCACATCCAAAACGATGTGAGACAACAAATTTGTTTAAAGGCATAATGTTTCCTCCCTGAAACACAGTGGCTGAAAGGATTTAGCCTGGTGCTTCTTTAAAAAATCTTTAAACCACTGTCATATATAATCTTTGGGTGTGAAGAATACATTTTTATTTTATTGCTCTGTCTGGTGGCCAGGTGAATTCACTGTTAGACCAGGGGTCGGCAAATAAGTAAATCCAACGAAGGTTAAAATCAAGGGCAGCTGGACTTGGTTGAAGATAAGTAAAGTAAAAAATAAGTAAAGTTTTTTCACGCCGTTACATGGCCGGCCCGAACTTAGTCAAATTATTTCACATCCTTTTATTTGCCCGTTTAGCTCAGCCAAACGTAGTGTGCGTGAATCCTGTTGGGAGGGTTGTATGATCGATCCCAACATAAGGTGGGTATTTCTTTTCTCCTTTGCATGCTCGCGATATATAGCGTGTGCTGCAGTGTGTGTGCGCCGCCCGCCGTTTGATCCGCATTCATAAACAAATGGACGTTTATTTTCATTTTATGGGGATCCAATCACACGTGTACTGACGGCTTTTTCAGAGGTGTGTCGAGCAATCCAGAGACTCTTTTGAATGAACTTTGAACTTCTGAACTTTTCAGAGTAAAAGCTCTCAATAAACCCAACATGGAGCATTGCTCCAATGTTCTCGTGCTTTTATTTTGGAGGCACAATCACTTAAGAGGAAGTGATTATTTAACCGTTGCTGCCCACCACTGCGTTGGACAATCTAAAAGAAAATGGTTTGTTTTGTTGACATGAACATAAGAACCAATAATCAGTGATTATCTTCCTAAAGGATAATTGGGTCGATTTTGGGTCTGATTCGCCCTCCCAACAATTGGGGGGTTTACGGACATAATCTTAAGGTCGCTAACTGGATTGGAGGCTCCGGGCCCTTCAGCAGCCAATGAGAGCAAGCTGACCAGCGTGTTGTGTATCTGCTCTCGCTATATGCTGTTTGCATCTGTTTTGAGGTTGTTCTGCAACTGCCTAGAGCTGAAATTATCATTATTATGAAATTAATTAAATAGTCGTTGGGCAGAAAATTATTCTGATAAGTGATGAATCGGTTGTATTTAAGGGAAACATGTCAAAGATTCACTTGTTCAAGCTTTGTTCAAACCAGAAAATTAGCTGCTTTTCTGGTCAAATATTATAGTAAACTGAATAACAAGACATTTGAAGACATCACCTTCTGTTCTGAGAAATTATAATGGCTATAACAAAGTAGCCCAACCTTGGACACACATTGCGTTCACCTTGTAGTCTTGTGCAGCTGTTTGGTGTCAATCAGTTTGGCACGAATTGTCCGCGCACGTTCATTGTATCCAGTTTGTGATTGGTAGAATTAGTCGATTTACAGATTTTGTATTCTCAGTGCTAGCAAGTTCTAAAGGTTAGTGTGAAAACTCTCCATCAATAATCTGTTGTTTTTCCAAACCTCAGCTCCAGGCTGCAGAGAAGCTGACGGACTACCTGATCACGCTGGGGAGCAGCAGCATGTCAAAGTCCTTTCTAATTCGTCACATGCTGTCTCAGATCAGCGCTCTGGCGGATCAGCTCTGGCAGGCCTTCCAGGTAAACACCCCCACTGCTTCACCACACATGCTCTTGCATTCCCATTGTGCTCTTCTTCTTCTTTCTCATTTGGCTCGACGTTGATCCCTTTCTACTTGATCCGCTGCCTCGTGATTGTGCTCTCCCTGTTTTTGTGTGTTGATCATTGCTCTTACCCTTTAGCAGTTTTGCCAAAGCAGAAACTTTTTCATCTGTTTAGCATTCGAGCCTTATTGTGATCATGAATCTCTCTCCCACTAGCATTACTGGTTTATTTCTCTCTGGCTTTCTCCCCCATTGTCTCCTTTCTCTCTTTCACGCTCTGTTTTATGTCACCTTTTTGCTCTTGGAGAGCCAGCCTTTGTGCAAGGCCTTACGTGCAAACAGCTTGCCCTATTGACTCGTCGCCACGGCCGCTTCTATACCGCCATAATCAATACTGCGTCCCACCAGTTCCCCGTCTGCCATGTATTCAAATGTCTCAGTAGCTTTGGCAACCGCTTGAGTCAGAGGCCAGACGAGAGCTGCATTTGGCCGGCCTGCTTCCTGTGAAAGGCAGAGCTGAGTGTCGAGCCACCGGGGGTCCTTCGAAATGGAAATGTGTAAAAAAGGACATGGATACAGATGATTTTCCCCTCTTAACCCCTCCCGCTGAGCACCCCTCCTCCTCAGTAGGGTTGGTCATGCTCGCTTGTGCCTGTTTTTCTCTCTCGAGGCGGAAGAGAATTTTAATAACCCTGTATTTTTGAGGGCCAAGTAGAAGGAAAAAAGAATCTCTCAACCCACTGCTCACTAAAGATATTGACAATGCAAGACAGCCTTGTGCTGCCGCAGAGCCATTGTCGCCAACAAACCAGCAGTAACGGTTATTCATGAGGACGAATCCTCCACAAACTGTCATTTAAAAGTGGAGCGGCGTCATCGTCCTCGGTCATTCAGGGGACCTGTTATTCTGAACTTAGATTAACCGTTGTGGAGGCGCAGATCCCTGTTAATGTGGTGGTTCAAAACACGCAGACACAGACTCCAAAATGCACCGCTTCACGTAACAGGAGCATGTGCAATTTGCCCTAAATATTGTTGACTATTATTGTTGTTACTATTGTTCTTAAAAAACACTTTAAAAGCACATGTACATGCACAAAAGGCATGTGAATAGTAACAATATTTAAATAAATGTTCCTTCCAGAAACTGTGTGTGAAGTCAGAGATTTACACAGGTAAAACCTGCAGTATCACTGTTGAGTATGTTGGATATAAACCATGGTCAAGCGTTTGTGTCAGTTGCTGCATTTGGAATATAACCAGAAACTTGAGTGACTGGCGAGAATACCTCAGATGAACACAGCCTCCATATCAAGCGCGCAGCTATATCATATCTATATATATTGAGATTGCTTTTGAAGACTCTGTTTGCTCGAAGACGGAGCCGCTGGATTGTCTTATTTGCTCGTAGCTCCATGCTTGCAGCTCCTTGCGGTTCATCCTCTTAGGGAACGAGGTCTCAGGGGAAGAGCTGTGTGCCGCTCGTTATGTAGGGGAGACTACATCTATATTTCCATTAACATTTTATGTTCTGAGCTCATGCTGTTATCCAGAGGGAATGATAATGAGTGAATCTTATCACCACCATCGCAAACACACTGTCAGAGTTTGTAGTTACAGTGCCCAGAGTTTATCTGTAAGAAAACACTGAGATGGTAGGATAGAAATGTGGTAAGTAACTTTTATGTTTCTCAAACATGTTTCGTTCATAAAATAGTGAAGCTCCAGCTGCAGGAAAAACAAGGAGTAAAGGTCACAGGTCAAGAGGTCCCAAAGGGTTTGAACTACAAAGTAGCCTGTCTATATTATTAAGTGAGAACAAAAAAGCAGACTTGCAAATATATTTTTTGACATCCTCAAACCAGATAAATCCTCTTTGGCGCCCCCTTTAGGCGCGCGTAGACCCCATGGTGGGAACCACTTCTCTGACCAATTGTTCAGAACCCAAAGACATTCAATTTACAATGACATTTACATTTTCGAAGCTGCAGCTGGCATATAATGTTCTTTTTGTTGGCAAAAATCTACTATTTCAGCCCTACAGAGAATAAAAAAATCAGTGAAGCATTCTGGTACCAAGCCTCCTCTTGTAAATCTAATCCCATATGGCACACACAAGTCAGTTTAAGATGCTAAGGTAAAATTTACTGTGACATTGAACTATATGTCACTTTGCTGAGGAGCTGACGAAACACCCTCTGGGAGTTCCTTGTCCCCTGTTTGAAGACCACTGAGCTCTACAGCTACCACACCTCCTGTATAAAGCTTTCATACAGTCCCCAGGCCGAGTGGAAGCTATGAACTGACCCCTGCTTCAGCTCTTTGTCAGCAGCAGCAGACTCGAACTCCCCGTCATTAGTGCTGAGTGAAAAGTATTTCTCAGCATGGAGGATTTCCTTTTGTGTGGGGAAACTGTCATGGTGGTGACATGAGTGGATGGCTTCTCTGTCTCCATTTATTAAGTTTCCAGTCAGTTTGATTTTTTTTTTATTTAGTGTCACGACACTAACACGACAATGGAAGCAAGTTTCTCCAAAGTAGCACATCACTTGGTGACAATATTGTTTACAGTTTAGTTTGTCTGGCTATAATATTGCCTTAGTTCATGCTTCAACTGTGTGGTTACGGAAGCTGAAACAAACTGGTGTGCTTGCGTGCTTGAGCTCCTTTTTACCAGTCGATTGAACCTGCTTTGAAAAGGAGTGTCTTTTGTTAGTGGATACGTGAATTTAACATGATTTCAAAAGCTAAATCATCATCTGATTATGAACCGTTCAGGCAGGTAGGCTAAATAATCGACCTGTTTAAAACATTTATTTGTGCAAATAAACTGGTAACAATGGTAACAAACCTGCTTCCCTGATCAGAAAGCGCTACAAGGTAACAATGCCCTTGTTCTTCCTGGTCCAGAGCAAATCTACAGATGTGAATGTTTCTGTTTTGTTTTTTTTAGGCATTGGCGAAGACAGGTGCAGCCTTTTATCAGTTTAGTTCAACAGCATGGACAAACATGCCTGCAGCTGCCCTGCAGCACAACATCTGAGAGCACAGGATCAACTGCCTACGCTACTGAAAAGACATTATAACTTCATTCTGGGCAAAAGAAGCTATTTTTTCTTTTCAGTTTAGTACTCGGATCTAATTTTGTAATGTAGGTAATGTGAGCTGTGGTGCGTCAATGGGTATCCATCAAACGCAGAGTTGCTTTGCATTCCCATCTATTCCTGGTGGCAAAACAATGACAGAGCATTAGTCACACTACCTGCAACATTAAAAAAAAAAAAGTTCATGAATCCCTCAGGAGCTGATGAGAAGCATTTACATTCAGGGTAGTTTATCAGTATACAACACAAATGTGTATAATGCACATATGCAGTACCTAGTTAAGGGCTAGACAGACAATCAGAAGCAGGGTAGGGCGGTTCCTGACAAGTAATGTGATACAAAACAAAGCAGCTTCCTTCAGATACCCGGGTTCGGTTCAGCTGTACATGTTCCGCCTGGCTCTGACATCCCTTCACTCAAAGCAATCTCAGTCCCCGTTCTCATCTGTGACACCACGAGCTACCTCACGCCATCAGAGCAGCGGCGTCCCTCTCTGACTTCAAGAAGCTGCTGAAAACTCTGCAGAGAACACTTCCTCCGATAACACCTCCAAACTCTAACATGCACTGCCTGTGCTCTTCTTCTTCTTCAGTCCCCTTACAATTATCTTTTTATTGATTGCACAATTCTTCTCAGCTGATTTATTCCCTCAGTAAACACTTTCCTGATGAGTTTATGGTCTTAGTCGCTAGTTTCAAGTCTTCTTCAACACAGCATGATGTTCATTTAGTAAATTATGGTCCCATTTAGAGGAAAATGGACCAGAAAGCAGGGGAGGCTTTAGGGCGGGGCTACCGTCTGATTGACAAATCATTAACATGGCGACTTGTCAATCAGGATAGAGGCGACTCGTATCCACGGCACTGTGTGAACATAACCAGCAGTGTTGGCCAAGCTTACCAGGAGTCGGCTGTTCATTTCCCTGTAAATACGTTTTGATTTAAGCCTGTTTTTAGCTAGCCAAAATTGCCATCCTGGTTAAAATCAGTTGACGTGAATTGCGGATGCTCCTTGCTAACCAAGCTAGCTAGCCAGCGCCACCGTCTCGTCCAGATATATCCAGTGCTGCTGGTTCATTCTCAAGGCTTTAAAACGGCAGTCCACAAACCAATGAGTGACGTCATGGTGACTACGTCCCACTTTTATACAGGCTATGGTTGTTCCTGCCAAATGAGTAAATGTAACGTAAACCTATTACGTGCACAAAAAAATATATATAACTCAATAAAGGAAAGGGAAAAAGCGTCAAACAGTAAAACTTAATACCGCTTAAGTTTGATCCAAAGTTTTGTATTTACATGCTGTGTCAGTCGGCCTGTACCTTCCAGCCAGGTGCTGTTATTTTCAGTGTCTGTCAGTGATTTATGTGGACATTCAGATTCAGTTAACCCTTCACTCCTGCTGATAACACAACCATATGGTTTGCTGGCCCAAATCTCTGGCCTCTAGATCAACCATCACTGCAGGGGAGATTCAACATATTTCTGTTCAGCTGCCTTGTTTTTCTCCCTTCCTAATTGGGACCCAGTAGAGTAACCCTGTTTGCCAGAATCAAACTCCTCGGGTAACAGGAATAGTGTCGAACTTATCACAGGTGTAGCTAACCATGTATCCTTCACACACATGGCTGTGGCTGCAGGTGAGAGGCCACTACTCTCATGTAAAGAAAGTCCTTTAAATTACTTAGAGTCTAGTTTATTTAATAGGTTTATTAAGCACAATGTGATGGCAAAAGTAGATTTTTAAGTTCCCAAAGGTGGTTAAAACATTTTGTTTGTCGGGTGTCCCCGGGGAAAATTTTAGTGTTTTTAGTAATTCATTAACTCAAGAAACTCCTTATCAAGGTTTTAACTACTCTCTATATATACAGT